CGAACACCGCTGAGCCCTACCTTCTCCCACAATGATTTTGCAGCCGCAGCGACTAAGTCCCATTCGGCGATGGGACTTAGTCATTTTTTCAGCCTGAAATAGACCGACCGCACAGCATGTATATTTTTGAAGTTATTAATATTTTGTAAAAACTGTATTTCTCTGCCTGTGATAATTATGTTAAAGAAATACTCCAGTCACCTAAGTTAATTTATCTAAATAAAGCAGTTTTAGTGTATAGATCATTCCCCTGCAATTTCACTGCTCAGTTCACTGTCATTTAGGAGTTAAATCACTTTGTTTCTGTTTATGTAGCCCTAGCCACACCTCCCCTGGCTATGATTGACAAAGCCTGCATGAAAAAAAACAAAACTGGTTTCACTTTCAAACAGATGTAATTTACCTTAAATAATTGTATCTCAATCTCTAAATTGAACTTTAATCACATACAGGAGGCTCTTGCAGGGTCTAGCCAGCTATTAACATAGCAGGGGATAAGAAATCTTAATTAAACAGAACTTGCAATAAAGAAAGCCTAAATAGGGCTCTCTTTACAGGAAGTGTTTATGGAAGGCTGTGCAAGTCACATGCAGGGAGGTGTGACTAGGGTTCATTAACAAAGGGATTTAACTTCTCAATGGCAGAGGATTGAGCAGTGAGGCTGCAGGGGCATGTTCTATACACCAAAACTGCTTCATTAAGCTAAAGTTGTTCAGGTGACTATAGTGTCCCCTTAACCATTGTGTTCAGTAATCATATCACAGGCAGAGGGGAAGATTTTGTGTGGGAGTGTCTGTGTGTATTGTACGGATTGATTGGTTGTACTGTGTTTGTGGATTGTGAATAAAAGAGGCTGTATGTGCCAGCACAGTCAGTTCTACTTCACCCTCAATTTGGAGTGCCGTCTCTTATTGGGAGAATCTGCTACAAGGGATTGCTATGCTTGTCATACTTCCTTGCTAAATCACTACTAAGCTCTTGTAAGAGCTTGTTCCTGCATTGCTCTCTGGAGGAGTCTACGGCGGTTATGGTGTTGGCTGGAGTGCTTGGAGCCCTCAGGAAGCGCTAGGAGCATTCATCAACGGAGGTACCCAGTCGATCCGTTACACTGCTCACATAGGGAAAGTACCGAACGGACGGCGTTCATATGAATTGCAAGAGAAGTGAGGTCGGCGGCTCAGCGGTGTTGTGCAAATAAGTGTCCGTTTTGAGTTCCATAGATTTGGAGCTGAACACCGCTGGCCGTTAGGGAGTTTAAGATGGCCGCTGCCACGTGGTCGGTTATACGTACAGCGGCCACCCAGCGTTCACCAATTAAGCTGCGGTTAACCGCAGCTTCTGGGAGGTAAATCACTGGCACACTCCTTGCCCAGGTGGTCCCCCCATTCGTGCGTTGGTTCGGTAGATTCAATCTACCGAACGCCCAGGCAGAAAGGCACAAACAAGCCTTTCTAAAGGGGAAAAGAACAGCGTTTAACATGGGCCCAGTGCCCAGTGGCGAGGTTGGTTCCGCCACAGTGATATAATATGACACGATATAATGTGATATAATGTGACACGATATAATGTGATATGATGACACAATTAATGTACTGTGATATAATATGACATGATATAATGTGATATAATGTGATATAATATGACATGATATAATGTGATATGATAAAATGTGACACGATGTAATGTAATATATGATACAATATAATATGACATGATATAATGTGATATATGATACGAAATAATGTGATATAATATGATACGAAATAATGTGGTCTAATATGATACGATATAATATGACACAATATAATTTGATACAATGTGACACGATATAATGTGATGTCACATGATATCACATCACATTAGATCGTATCGTATCACATTAGATTGTATCGTGTTACATCACATCACATTATATCTGTCAAATTATAATATCATATTATATCACATATCTTATCATATTATAATGTGATATGATTTGATATAATTGATATAATATCATACGATATAATGGGATATAATGTGTAGTAGAAACCGGGAATAGCCTTACAGTGGGAGCAGTAACAGTGATAAAGAAAGGGTAGTAGATACCTGGAATAGCCTTCCAGTGGAAGCAGTAACAGTGATTTAGAAAGGGTAGTAGATAACTGGAATAGCCTTCCAATGGAAGCAGTAACACTGATATAGAAAGGGTAGTAGATACCAGGAATAGCCTTCCAGTGGGAGCAGTAACAGTGATATAGAAAGGGTAGTAGATACCTGGAATAGCCTTCCAGTGGGAGCAGTAACAGTAATATAGAAAGGGTAGTAGATACCTGGAATAGCCTTCCAGTGGGAGCAGTAACAGGGATATAGAAAGGGTAATAGATACCTGGAATAGCCTTCCAGTGGGAACAGTAACAGTGATATAGAAAGGGTAGTAGATACATGGAATAGCCTTCCAGCGGGAGCAGTAACAGTGATATGGAAAGGGAGGTAGATACCTGGAATAGCCTTCCAGCGGGAGCAGTAACAGTGATATGGAAAGGGTAGTAGATACCTGGAATATCCTTCCAGCGGGAGCAGTAACAGTGATATAGAAAGGGTAGTAGATACCTGGAATAGCCTTCCAGTGGGAGCAGTAACAGTGATAGAGAAAGGGTAGTAGATACCTGGAATAGCCTTCCAGTGGGAGCAGTAACAGTGATAGAGAAAGAGTAGTAGATGCCTGGAATAGCCTTTCAGTGGGAGCAGTAACCATGATATAGAAAGGGTAGTAGATACCTGGAATAGCTGCCCACTGGGAGCAGTAACAGTGATATAGAAAGGGTAGTAGATACCTGGAATAGCCTTCCAGTGGGAGCAGTAACAGTGATATAGAAAGGGTAGTAGATACCTGGAATAGCCTTCCAGTGGGAGCAGTAACAGTGATATAGAAAGGGTAGCAGATACCTGGAATAGACTCCCAGTGGGAGCAGTAACAGTGATATAGAAAGGGTAGTAGATACCTGGAATGGCCTTCCAGTGGGAGCAGTAACAGTGATATAGAAAGGGTAGTAGATACCTGGAATAGCCTTCCAGTGGGAGCAGTAACAGTGATATAGAAAGGGTAGTAGATACCTGGAATAGCCTTCCAGTGGGAGCAGTAAGAGTGATATAGAAAGGGTAGTAGATACCTGGAATAGCCTTCCAGTGGGAGCAGTAACAGTGGTATAGAAAGGGTAGTAGATACCTGGAATAGCCTTCCAGTGGGAGCAGTAACAGTGATATATAAAGGGTAGTACATACATGGAATAGCCTTCCAGTGGGAGCAGTAACAGTGATATAGAAAGGGTAGTAGATACCTGGAATAGCCTTCCAGTGGGAGCAGTAACAGTTATATAGAAAGGGTAGTAGATACCTGGAATAACCTTCCAATGGGAGCGGTAACAGGGATATAGAAAGGGTAGTAGATACCTGGAATAGCCTTCCAGTGAGAGCAGTAACAGTGATATAGAAAGGGTAGTAGATACCTGGAATAGCCTTCCAGTGGGAACAGTAACAGTGATATAGAAAGGGCAGTTGATACCTGGGATAGCCTTCCAGTGGAAGCAGTAACAGTGATATAGAAAGGGTAGTAGGTACTAGGAATAGCCTTCCAGTGGGAACAGTAACAGTGATATAGAAAGGGCAGTAGATACCTGGGATAGCCTTCCAGTGGGAGCAGTAACAGTGATACAGAAAGGGTAGTAGATACCTGGAATAGCCTTCCAGTGGGAGGAGTAACAGTGATATAGAAAGGGTAGTAGATACCTGGAATAGTCTTCCAGTGGGAGGAATAACAGTGATACAGAAAGGGTAGTAGATACCTGGAATAGCCTTCCAGTGGAAGCAGTAACATTGATATAGAAAGGGTAGTAGATACCTGGAATAGCCTTCCAGTGGGAGCAGTAACAGTGATATAGAAAGGGTAGTAGATACCTGGAATAGCCTTCCAGTGGGAGCAGTAACAGTGATATAGAAAGGGTAGTAGATACCTGGAATAGCCTTCCAGTAATATAGAAAGGGTAGAAGATACCTGGAATAGCCTTCCAGTAGAAGCAGTAACAGTGATATAGAAAGGGTAGTAGATACCTGGGATAGCCTTCCAGTGGGAGCAGTAACAGCGATATAGAAAGGGTAGTAGATACCTGGGATAGCCTTCCAGTTGGAGCAGTAACAGTGATATAGAAAGAGTAGTAGATGCCTGGAATAGCCTTTCAGTGGGAGCAGTAACAGTGATATAGAAAGGGTAGTAGATACCTGGAATAGCCTTCCAGTGGGAGCAGTAACAGTGATATAGAAAGGGTAGTAGATACCTGGAATAGCCTTCCAGTGGGAGCAGTAACAGTGATATAGAAAGGGCAGTAGATACCTGGAATAGCCTTCCAGTGGAAGCAATAAAGGCTAACAGTGATACAGAAAGAGTAGTAGATACCGGGAATAGCCTTCCAGTGGAAGCAGTAAAGGCTAACAGTGATATAGAAAGGGTAGTAGATACCTGGAATAGCCTTCCAGTGGGAGCAGTAACAGTGATATAGAAAGGGTAGTAGATACCTGGAATATCCTTCCAGTGGGAGCAGTAACAGTGATATAGAAAGGGTAGTAGATACCTGGAATAGCCTTCCAGTGGGAGCATTAACAGTGATATAGAAAGGGTAGTAGATACCTGGAATAGCCTTCCAGTGGGAGCAGTAACAGTGATATAGAAAGGGTAGTAGATACCTGGAATAGCCTTCCAGTGGGAGCAGTAACAGTGATATAGAAAGGGTAGTAGATACCTGGAATAGCCTTCCAGTGGAAACAGTAACAGTGATATAGAAAGGGGAGTAGATACCTGGAATAGCCTTCCGGTGGGAGCAGTAACAGCGATATAGAAAGGGTAGAAGATACCTGGAACAGCCTTCCAGTAGAAGCAGTAACAGTGATAGAGAAAGGGTAGTAGATACCTGGAATACCTTCCAGTGGAAGCAGTAACAGTGATAGGGTAGTAGATACCTGGAATAGCCTTCCAGTGGGAGCAGTAACAGTGATATAGAAAGAGTAGTAGATACATGGAATAGCCTTCCAGTGGGAGCAGTAACAGTGATATAGAAAGGGTAGTAGATACCTGGAATAGCCTCCCAGTGGGAGCAGTAACAGTGATATAGAAAGGGTAGTAGATACCTGGAATAGCCTTCCAGTGGGAGCAGTAACAATGATATAGAAAGGGTAGTAGATACCTGGAATAGCCTTCCAGTGGGAGCAGTAACAGTGATATAGAAAGGGTAGTAGATACCCGGAATAGCCTTCCAGTGGGAGCAGTAACAGTGATATAGAAAGGGTAGTAGATACCATGAATAGCCTTCCAGTGGGGGCAATAACAGTGATATAGAAAGGGTAGTAGATACCTGGAATAGCCTTCCAGTGGGAGCAGTAACAGTGATATAGAAAGGGTAGTAGATACCTGGAATAGCCTTCCAGTGGGAGCAGTAACAGCGATATAGAAAGGGTAGTCGATACCTGGAATTAGGTGGATTGTTTGTTTTCTATGTAAGTCTGGATGAAAGTGGATCCAAGCTATAACTGGGGGAAAGGACTGAGCAAGAGAGTGGCTGACGGGGGACTCTTCTGTGGTAACGGTGAGGGGATCGGCTGACGGGTGACTCTCCTGTAGTAACGGTGAGGGAATCGGCTGACGGGGGACTCTCCTGTAGTAACGGTGTGGGGATCATCTGGCGGGGGACTCTCCTGTAGTAACGGTGAGGGAATCGGCTGACGGGGGACTCTCCTGTAGTAACGGTGAGGGAATCGGCTGATGGGGCACTCTCCTGTAGTAACGGTGAGGGGCTCGGCTGACGGAGGACTCTCCTGTAGTAACTGTGAGG